TGGCACATTATATCCCTCTATCAAAAGATCAGAATTTGGCCTTACTAAAAATAAAAAACTAGACAATTCCTAAGCACAGGACACCAATAGTTGGAGATCTGTTGGAGTTCAAAATCATCTACACCTAGTAAGATAATTCTGAAGCCATCGTTTAAATTGTTAGAAGAAATTTAAAGGGTTACAGAGATTTCAAACTGAACTATTTTGCACATTTCAGTCAAAAAGTAATTGCCTATTTCTCAAAAAAAACCCCAACTCTACTATATCCAAATGTTTTTAAGATGTAAATGCACTTGTCATCTTTCATGTAAGCAGGGTGCTGGTGCCCCAAATTAAACAAAAGAAGCAAAGTTAGGGTTGACAAGTATGTTGCTGTGTAACTACAAATTAAATATGCCTTTTGATATTTCATTTTTAACTGTTGAGTACCTTTTCATCAGGCTTTTGCCACTAGAAGTTTTTTATTAGATTTTTAAATTAGACAAATAACAGATAAGAGATGTGACAAGTATATCAAATCTGATTTAGCAGATCTGACGCACTTAATCTTTTACTGTAAGTGGCATTTGATATATTTGAAATGTTTCAAACAATGCTCCCTTAACATGCCAAATAAGAAGAAATTCAGATTTAACTCGACTGTATTCAATTTATGCCAAGCACAGATTGAATATCTAAAAAACACAAACAATCAACTTGCAGTTGAAAGTGCGAAATCACCCGAAACTTTGAATGCGATGTGAAATTTTAAATACTACCAAAAAAACCCAAACTACCCAGTATCTGACACCACCAGTGAACCACAGGAGATACATACTTTTATTAAAAGACTGTTAGACTAGCAACTGCAACTCTGTATACGCCGTGAAGTTTGAGTGAACGCTGGCTAGACTGCACAGCAGCCAGCGTTTCAAAAATGATTTATGAAGAGAGATCACCATATCTGAATTCCTCAGAAAAACAAACACACACCTCCTTTTTGTGTGGTAATCAAATCCACGCTTACTATAGTCTCAAATTCATGTAGTTGTTGTATATATAAACGAATAAAATATAATGAGGTGTGCCACATTATTAAAAATAATTTGACATTTGCATGCAAAAGCTCACATTAATAACCGAAAAGATGGAACGCTCAAATACTACAGCTACTTTTGCTTGTGCTGGACATGCTTCAATACACAGAAATATTTTCTATCCAGTTTTGGAGTAACACAACCACCTAATTCACCCTCTGAAAGACTATAGACTTGGAATCCAGAAAGGATCAGAGAGTCTAATTTTGTCAGGTGACTAAGACAAAATATATGCATTTAAAATAGAGTTCAAAACCCAACAAAACACAACCTACTACTGAAAGGGAAGAATGAACACAAAGGAAAAAAACTTGTACGCTGAACTAGCAGATTGACTAGCACACACGCAAAAAAATATTTTAAAACATACTTGGCACCTGATTAATATTATGTTTCCCATTATTCTTTTCATCTCTTAATTCTGTTAATACTGTAGATTAAATTGGAACAATGTTTCAAGCAAGGAAAAAGAACCAAACTAAATTTCATTGTTGCTGCACGTTAAAATTGAAGTCTTTTCTTATAAAGACTCAGAAGTCGACACTGACATTAAAATGAAAATTTAAATGAAAGTTATTTATTAACATTAAATCTAATTAAGTTAATAATATGGCCTTCTAACACCAGCAATCACACCTTAGATCAAAATAAAGGGGCAAATGTATAATCATATTGTGCACAAGTTCTTTCTGACATTTGGAACTTACACATTGAAAAGAGCAGGTATGTTGAAAAACTAAACAATAAAAGTTTTAGCACATAGGCTAAATGAAAATTTGCCCCATGCAAACAGTTTGCCCTTCCTTATACTTAGAACTGTAACAAAAAACGTATGTGTGAGTAAATATCTGGTAATTGCAGGACAATTGCCTAAGTGAGCAAGGCACATGCTTTTTCCACACTGACAGAAACATGGTACAAAGCTTTTATACTGTTTATTTTTCCTAAGCTTGCTCAAAAGGCAGGCTTCTTAATTTCCTTCTAATTTCTCCTCCAGAACTTTTCATTTCTTACAGTTCTTCTCATTCCTCTATTTTCCCTTCCATTTCCCCATGAATTACATGATGCAATGAAGTATTGTCCCCACTACTTTGAGACAGATGACTGCAAAGTGGTCAATGGTAAACAGATTGTCAAGGTTTTTGGATAAGATTTTTAGGAATATTCTATACAAGACTTCAGGTAGTCAAATTAAACACGAATGTTCAAATTGACAGGAGCCAAAGAAGGCATTTTAAAGACAAAGACAAAAATGCTTAAGTGAGTTATTAACATGACACAGAAAACCCTGTGGAGGCAGGGACAGAATCCTGCCTCCACATTTTTCCCCCCTTTCAGACTATGCTTCACTCACTTCTCAAAATCTCTAACAGCTGAGGATAGATTTTTACCTCTGACAGCTCCAGTTAATACAAAACCCAGTTTCAGCTCCAAGCCAACCTCTGTTTCATGAAGCAAGTCAAGTGTACTCGTGGGGAAAAAAAGTTGTTATTTATGATTGGATTATACTTGATTGTCTTTATGTCAGTTTTTTTTTCTGTACATAATTTTTACTGACATTGATAAGAAAGCAAACAAAAAACTTGAATGGAAACCAGAAAATTCACGTACTGCATTGGTCTGCAGGGTTCAGCACCAGAATGGGCAATACATACATGTAATTTCTGTACAGTAGATTCAGACAGATTTGAGTCATTTGGCTAATGTTGCAGACCTTGAATTTTGTAGCCTTGATTCTAAATATGAAACCATGTCGATGGCACTGGTAAGGCAAAACGTTTCTGCCATTATTGCATTCCTCAGCGGTACCGCCTATACATGGCACGTAGTGCTGCCTGCAGCCTTACTACAAAAATATAGTAACATATATGTAACTTCTGCCAGCTGAGCAAAGAAAGTGATCAGTAACACTAATAGGCAAGAGGACAAAAGTGTAAGATAGAGGGGATTCCTGTGATTACAGTGCAGCTTCTGGTAAATTCACTAATCTAGTGAATATCAGAGTTCTCTGTCCTTTTATTTGCACTTCAAGTCTGTCTCCTGTTTGTATAATCCCTTTCAATCCATTTCTGTGTTAATCCCATTTCTAAATCCTACCCTAATTTATGTTTCTACCTTGCTCATCCAGTCTTGGTTTCCTCTTTTGTTCCACCTTGGTTCTTTGCTCGATACCCGTCTTCATCACAAGCTTTCCGTTCCAATCTGCTCCCTGCCTTGAAGTCACCTTATTTTCCAGCACCATTGGTATCCTCCTCATGAACAATTCTAGCTATCCAAAAGCATTATCTTCCCAATAGTTCAGATCAGGTGTTCTCTGCATTCTATTCAGCTTTCCAGCTTCTTCATTCTGCTTGGTAACAGCAGGGGGAGCATCAAGAAAGGAATATTTGCTGGTGCTTGACCAGCACAATTGTTCATAGGAGTTGAAGTTCTAGGCTGGACTAGCAACACAGGAAATTGATCATCAGAAAATTCTCAATGTTATTCCTAGCAAATTCCTGAGTATTTTCATACTCCCATTTTTCCAAAACATCCTTTGCAAAAGATTTATCCATGGCATCAACATGCCCCCACTCTGGTCAAGTTTTCAATTGCCAGATGAAATGCTTGAAAGTTTCAGACCGCATCAGGGAAATTATTTTTCCTTTACCTTATCTTTTAAGCATTGGCAAATTGATGTCTTTCCTTTTAAAAAAAGAACTGTTCTTGTCAAAATTTGCCTTTTCACTAGGACTAGTACTAGTGGGAATGGCCTCAAGTTACGCCAGGGGAAATTTAGGTTAGATATCAGGAAAAATTTCTTTACAGAGAGGGTTGTGAAGTATTGGAACAGGCTGCCCAGGGAGGTGGGGGAGTCCCCATCCCTGGAGGTGTTTAAAAACCATGTGGATTTGGTGTTGAGCAACATGGTTTAGGGACCCTGACAGTGCAGAGTGAATGGTTGGACTCGATGATCTTGAGGGTCTCTTCCAACCAAATGATTCCACGATTTGGAAGCTAATGCAGAAACATCATATAAAAATACTTCAGGCCAAACTATTAAGTCTTGGTGACCAGGCATAGTTGTATCCACTAAGGAACATTGAGTAACTTTAATTATGCAACACTACACATCTCTCATAGTACCACTCAGGAACACAACTGAGGCCTGAATGTTTTGCCTTGCCAATGTAATCAACTTTTTTCTTTTTTTTTAAAATTAATTCTAAAAAAGTCAAGATCTAAACCAGGCAAATGACTCAACTCAAATCTTTAAATTTTGCAGTCAAAAAGATTATGTGATAAGTGATTTAGATCTGTTAGTTTTAGATATGACAAATCAGATGTTCAAAGGACCTAAATGTTAAGATGTGTACAGTATTCCCTACTTAAAAAAAAAAAAAAGGCTCATTTAAATCATGATTCCTTAAAACAGAGGCTCTTAACGCACCTAAATAACGTCTAATATCTCAGTCATTCTAAATACCTTGTACCTGCCCTTCTTCGATGGTTTAACATTCTTTGCTGGACCACTGTCATAGTATGGATTTTCTCATAATTTTACCCTTTCAGAACTGTAATTACATCTATTACGAAAGTAGCTAGATTCTTTGGAAAAAATCCCAAACAAACTCAATGCTATTTTCTTATGAAATTCAAAGATGTCTTTTATAATTCTTTCTATTATATATAAGCAATGAAGCAAAATAATCACAAAAAACAAGCATTAAAGAGATTATCAATGGTAAAAGCTGCTTTAATCATTTGGGGGTATTTGAAAAATGATTTAGGAATTAAGTAAAGTCTGTGAGAAAGAACTTATAATAAGAAGTTGTCAAAAGTTAAAAACATAGACTAGAAAAAAGTTTTTAATTGTACAGTATATTTTAGCTCCTATCAATCACCTGTTAAAATAATTTCAGAGTTTAATAAGCAGATATTTACCTGCTGGAACAAGACAATCTTTCCAATCAAAATATCCTGCATAAATGCCGGGTTCTAATGACCCAACTATCGGATCTGCCTTGAATTCAATGTACGTTTCAAACAGTCTTTGATCCAGCTCTTTCAAGGATTCCATGCTAACCTGAAAAAAAAAAAAAAGAAAGAGAAAGAACATAAGAAACAGTCATTAGTTACAAGAATTAAATCACATTCCCCAAAAAATTTACCTCGTGTCTTCTTTAATTTTCGGTAAAGAGTAGCAATTACTTACACATTTCAGTTCATAATTACATATATAAAAACCTAGGAACTTCCACATTATCGGTTCATCCTACCCAGTATACATTTTTTTTTTCTTACTATGCTCAGCAACAGACATTTTTAGGAAAAGTCCAAGGAATGACAATGCAGACAGATCACTCCATAACTGTCTAACGGCATGATTTTTTCTTCTGCATGTCAGGAAGTCCTGATCTCTCACCAAGTAAACAACTGAACTTTGTTAATGCTTTAAAACATGTCCATAATACTTTCCATCCTGAAACACAAATATTTTTGTGTAATACTTAAGAGCTACCAATTGTAATATTACAATTTTTCATTATCTGGTCTGTATTTGAAAAATACACGGATTTATTTAGGAGTCTGTCTTCTGAAACCGTACATGTGAACTTCACTGCTCTACTTCAAGGTGTATCTGTACGACAGAATCATAAGCTGCAGCTCGCCAACACCTCCAGAATTTCTCTCTTTATCAGCTCTCTATGCAATTTTTAGTAATTCACACAACTTAGCCACACTGAAAGCTAAAGCTATACCCACAGTTTGTTCATAGTAGCTGAACAACTTCAAATTTTATACAAGACTTCTTATTAAACATAGGTACCCCCTGTAACTATAGCTTCTAGAACAATTCTGGAACACAATGCATATCATACAATGTTAAAGTAGAACATCAGTATTTTAGGACAGTAATGGATGCTAAATGCAAATAAAATATGCTGAAAATAACATGTGACTTTTACTTAAATGTACTTATAACTAAGAGGTTAAGCAATAGCAAAGTAAAGCTTGTAAACTAGTGCTCATTTTCCTCAACCCTCTGGGAAAAAAGCATATATATGACAATTTCCAGGATCAAAGGGGTTTAAAAGTGAAGAAGGCGGCAGGGCTCTAGATCAAACTGAGAATTCAGAAGAAAGAAAAGAAGAATATCAACTCTGTATCATCCCTTTCTAAACACTTTATGCTTCAAGCTGTAGAATAAGGGATGAAACTTATTCACTGCAGGGATGTCTCTAAACTGTGATCTCCTTTGGCATCCTTTGGCACTTTGTTAAGTGAAGAGAAAGGGAACTGCAATATTTGAGTCAGGAATAGACAGACAGACAAGCCTTCACGATCGAGATCCTAAGTGCACAGGAAAACAGAGGTGTTATTGAGGCCAAAGTTGCTGTCACATTCAGGAAAGTTGCGCTGGTGAAGCTGGTGCTCAGATACAAGAGGCATCACCACTTTCCTGCTTTTCTATCTGATGATTCTCCTTTAATTTGTCACAAGAGGATCTATATCTCAAAGACAGCATTTTCATAAGGCCGTGAGAATTTGGTCCCAGGAGAAGATCAAGGCTATTTCCTCCTTCTTTCCCTTCTACCTGACAGCCTTCAAGACTTGAAGAACACATTCAGTGTACAGAAATCTCACTCTTTTTCCCCTTACACAGGATCACAGAAATATAAATCCAGAATGGCTTTCAAGACATTCTTCACTTCAATTTCTTATGATTAGGGAGAAAAATTATCCTTAGACCATTCCCATTTAGGTTTGAGCTAGTGGGAAAAATCAAGTATAAGTTCTAGTAGGAAGTCCCTGGAAACACACATCCATTCAAAGAATCTGTGAACCAACTGCTTCAGTTGTCCTTAAGAAAGTGGTTCAAAATTAAGTAATTCCACCTTCCACTTCTGCAGTCATTCAATACAAAAGATCATCTGCACATTCAGGACAGGATTTTTGTTTCATGCAAGTCCTCTTTAACCTGTTTCAAGTTCAATGCAGAATTAAGACAGTGCTGGGTAACCTTGGTTTTCAGCTGGTAGAAAGATCACAAGAAAGAACGAACAATTCATCTGAATGTTATTTTGAGCCCCGGATGGGGGTGTGAAGCAGAGTACACCATTGTGTACACTCATTTTCCTGACTCCCAAGTGGAGTAAATGCTCATAAAAATATACAATTCTCTCATTGTTATCTTTCTGCTGTAAACTTCCCTATAACTACAGTTTCCAATTTATGTATTAAAGAAATTTTGACCTTCTGTCCTCACCACCTCTCTGGCTTATCTAAGTATCAGAACTGTAGAAATAATTTTATTCAGAAGCTTCATCAATAAGGTAGGATGAAAGTTATGAGATACATGATTTTTTTTTTCCACTTTCTAATTGACTAAACTGATGATAAAAAGTTGAATTAAAGAATCTCCACAGAAAAGCACTTAAGAGTTATGTAGAAATTAAATATAATTACTGGTGAGTGCCATAAGTACATGCCAAGATGGCATGTGCTAAAGCAGAGAGTAAAGTTTGGCTATTTTATGTAACTTTGTGTTTGGCACCCTAAAGAAAAAAATGGAAATAACAATCATGTGGAATGTAAGGAAATTTTCTTGGTTACTATTTTATGATTTCTTTATTTTCAGAATATTAGATAATAAGGATTTCCCTTCAAACAAAGGCAACTTTAAAAAAAAACAACCAAACAACAGATAATTTTTACCAACACACACTACAAAATTAACTTTAAAATTCAATTTATAAAGCTAAGACAATTTAAAAGCATAGTGTTGTTTCAGTCTTCTCAGACAAAAACAAATTCTATTTTTTAAATTTTTTGTCAATTCTTTAATGCAAATTTTTAATCTAATAAATAAATAAACGGTCTTACAGAAGTTTAAGTGACAGAACAAAAAACTGAAACAATCAACCAACCCCACTAAACCTCTGTGAACTTCTAGCCTCTCTTAAAATTAATGAGGGGTTCAAAAATTACCCTCTTAAGATGACCATTTAATTACCCAGCTCCTCCCAGCTAGCATTAATGATGGATGTGTCCCATATATGCAGCACCGCACCAGTCAGCTCTTTCAAAGGGCTAACACAGATTTGAAATGATTTTTCGACTTTGACATTTGAATTTTGTCATTTATAAACCTGTCAGACTTTCAATGGCAATACTTTGATACGGCTGTACAAGACAGTGTTGCACGCAGACATGACAGACAATATTACCTGTACCTAGTTCAATTCTCAGTTGTCTCAGGAGCAAACACCACCAATATCCAGAGTAATTTTGTATACTGTACTAATCACCCAAATCATACCAATCCTACTCAAATGCTATTCAAAATGACTGCAACCACAGAAATTCAGACAACCATCAGGCAGAACGGGACGAAGGATGTACTACATAGTAGAAACATCAGTTCAAGTGAAATATTGTACCCTGTACTGGAAAAGATAACATTTTACTTCCAACCAACAAATGTTTCTGGAAATAAACTAGCTTTATGGTCCTAAGGATTAAGTCATAACATTTCTCATAAAAAATGATTAATCTTTACAAAAAGGCAGGAAAATGAGACAGCTACTGCCGCCCACTTTGACATTTTCGTTCTTTGGAAAAAAAAACACAAAACCAAAACACAACAAAAAAACCTCAACTAGTTTATGAACAACATCTATCAGTAACACAGATTGCCAGATGAAATAATTTATCAAGTATATTTGAGATAACAATCTTTTATTCTCTGCATTAAGAAAACACAGTGACATTAAACAGCTTTACTAAGAAATCTGATAAGCTTTGTCATTGAACACAAGCACTGAATAAGAGGTCATATTTTCTATACCAGCTACTGAAGCCTCATAGGAACACAACCAACCACATCATTGTTGTTGTTGTGTCCAACTGCTGCTTGGAGCCCCACTCATTTGAAGACTCACCCAAGAGTCCTTTTGGCCATTTGAACGCTGGCACTTAATTTCCACAGAACGTAAATCAAATAAAAACTGTTTCCTTCAAGCAAGGACACTTCATTCCAGTGCTTTCACTTACTTGAGTTATTTTTTCAACACCTTGAAAGCCATGTTTCTCAAAATGTTCAGCTATATTTAAGAAGGTATGACGTTCCAGATAACGGCAGTTACTGAGTGCAATTAAAAGCCTCTGTTCCTACAAATTTGGGAGAAGAAAGAGCATAATAGTTAGAAAAAAGAACTATCAGCATGACCAATACTGTAAATGTATAGTATAGACTCTGTGTCTGAAAAACATGATCCTAAATAAAGCGGAATTTACAAACATTTTTGTCAATAAAACCCCAAGAACTGAGTGAATATCAGGTACGATCACTGAACACGTATGGTTTTTCTTATAGGATCTGGAGCATTCACTGGAATAGCTGTGACTAATACAGAACTGTGGTTAAGACTTCTTCACAAAAATTAGGTTTGGACAGCTTTCCAGGAAGCTGTTTCTGGCTTTTACTTTGTTTCAAGAAATATGCAGAGCATCGTGACCATCATAAAACTAACTGAAGATCATCTTCACTTTCACATGAAGCTGGCTAAAACAAGGGAAGCAAAACAGGTACTGAACGAATGCCCTCGTCCATTGTGCAAGGTTTGGGAGTACATAATATAATTTCAGCAGTTAATTTGAGAAAATATCCAGGTGGTTATAACTTATCTCCGTTCTTCAATGATTTTTTTAATTACGAGAAGTCAAATGCATTCTGGAGTTGAGATACCAGAATTGTGTCTCCCTGACCTTGCAAAAAGGTGAAGTTTCCAAAGAGGCAAAGTAACAAGATGGAACTACTATTTGAATAGATTTGGTCTTCCCTCCCCTCCTCCCAGTGGCAAAACATTTTTCTACCTCAGATGGAAGTTCAAAACCAACACCAGCAAATATTTTGAAAACAAAATTATTTGGCAATGAAGTCATCATAATAATGCAGATCTGATTAAAAATGGTGTTGGTTTTCAGACCTAGAAGAACTCCTGATGGTTTTGTATTCCAGTAACATGATGACTAGTATTGAGATGTACAGCCTACTACTTTAAATTACAATCAGTTGGTATACAGACTATTCAAAAAATGAGAATTTTAAAAATACAGTGACAAATCTTAACACTCGTCGCTCTCTCTCTCTCTGTTCTCATTACTCAATCAGGAAAGAGAAGATAAAGTGTTCTACAGAAAAAAAGTAATGATACCATGGCAACCAGACATTGTCTAAAATTGTTGATTTCTTTGTTTTTATTTAAACATTCATACCTATGACTATAGGAGGAAGTCACAGCCATACAAAGTTATTTCGTTAACAATTAATAACAAAAATCTATGTGTTACAAGAATAAAATGATATAAGGAACTAATTATTGTAGTCTGCAATTCAGAAACTTAGCCTGATTTGGCAATCTGCGATTCTTTATTGTAGCAGAAAAGCTTACTGCTCTGTAAATGAGGCAAAGCTGGGCTGCTGACAACATTTAAAACCTATATCAAGAAATATTAACTTCACAAAAGGTTCTCACTAGGTTTCTTGCAGGGAACAATGACATTTTTTCATCAGTCACCTGGCTAGAAGAAAGTACATCAACCAAAGCCAAAGTGCCAAGAATATCAAAAACTTGTTTCCCAATTTCCTAAAAACCAAAACCAAATCTAAACAAGCCAAACAAATAATCAATATTTTACTCTCAGTAAAGTATTAAAAAAAAAAAAAAACCTACATCACTGAATATCTGTATCTTCATGGGTTTTAAAAAGTAACTAATAATCAGACCAGTTCTTAAAACAAGATAACTCAAAAGTCAAATCCTCAGCTGTCTTAACACTACTGCTGTTTTAGTTTCTGAGGAGAACCTGGTTTCAAAAATGTCTTAATTAGTTACTTCAAGATGATATACTAAGATATCATAAACAAAGAGTGCTTTTAAAAACAGCCTTATATTCAAGCCTTATGTCCTTGTATTTTCTTAGGCTTATAAACATCTGTACCTAGGAAATGCCTCTAGAATACAGAATTGCTCTCTAAAAAAGGAAAACAAAACCCCGAAATAATTAAAAAAAAAAAAAAGACCACATTCCTGTAACTTTGAGAAATATTAAGTTTCACATCAGCTTTCAGAAATAGAAGTCAAACTTACAGAAGAAAGACTTGAGTCTTCATGAATGCTTCCAAACAAATCTGGAGATGAAACATCAACTGAAAGACTAGGAATATTGTTTAAAAAGTGAGTAGTATAGTGCTTTTGATCATCTGATATTTGATGGATTCAAATGAACATTTGGAACAGAAGACTGGAATCTTGTTTCAAGCCCCCGCATACCAGATAATAAAGCAGCCCATGTTGCCCAGGGTTTTTTTTGGTTTTGTTTTTGTTTTTTTATTCTAGCTACAGACTTTTCCTTCTTAAAGCACTTTAATTTTCTATAATTTCTTTGGTTTGCCACACATTCTATTTTGGTTTTACGCCTAACCAGCCAATGTAGTCATCCAAATATCAAAAAAAAAGTAGCATTAGGAACACAGTTAATTTGCCTTTCTCTAATGCATATTGCAGGTGTCAATATTTGCCAAGTCTCTGGCTTTTCACGAAGAAATGACTGGTACTTTTGGAAACAAGCTATTCTGACTTGTTTTGTTCTCTAAAATACGTGGCTCATGAGCAATTATCGAACAAACAAACTTTAAAGAATTTAGCAGAAATACCAATAGAACCAGTCAAAGTAGAAGGGAAGAAAAGAAATGCAGAGGCTGCTTCTTCATGACTAGACATTACTCAGTGACAAGGATAACACATTCCACGTAGGGTCATGTCAAAAACAACACACCTGCTTCTACAGCACACAGCTCCTGTCACTGAATAGGTAATACCTTATTCATTAGCTTGCACAATATTTATTACACGATGTCACTCAATTGTTTGGCATAAAAAGTATCTGCTCTTATTTCAAAGTATCACTAACCAGAGGCAAAAGTATTCACCAGAAATATGAAATACCAGAGGGGATAAAACCACACCACCACTGGAATCTGATACTTGCATCTGCAATTTCAGAATACTACACTGAGGTCCTATTTATTTTACTTACTGTGCTGTATCTATGTCACCATCAGGTTTGGTGCTCAGTTGTTCCAAACAGTCTATAAAGACCTAGGAAACAATAAAGCAAGATCCACATTTTCTGTGAGAACTAAAAAAAAAAAAATCTCTTCAATTCACTTTTACTACCAACAATAGAAGCAGAACAATCATCATCGCCTTTCTTTGCCTTAAACCTTGCATAACCACAGTAACATTTTAGTTACACCTGTTGAATGCATATTTTCAATTTTATATTCATCACAGTTTACTTGTAGCAAAACACAAGAGTTTTTAATCCTGCTAAGTGATTCCCATTGTGCATGGCCAAAATTATGCAGTGATAAGCTGCTGATTTGCAGAGAAGGCATTGTTAATAGTTTTCAAGTGTTCAATCTGAACAGCTGATCCCAACAAACATCGCAGAAGCATCACTAAAATCCATTCTTGCTTTCCTTATTTGAGAAGACTACAAAAATGGCTCAAAAGCCTAAAGCGTGCTATTATCTAATTTCAAATACATTTAAAAATACCCAGATTTTGTTACAAAGAACATTGGTTTCTGATACAAAAATGAAAAGCTACATCTTCAGCTGATGAAAATCAGCATTGCTCCCTTTACTGCAGTGTATCGATGCGAGATGACATCTGCTCAGCGAGTGACTCTCGATCATCAGTAAAATCTGGAACGGTCACAATCAGTAAAATATGTCACTTACCCTCTGAGGATCCGCCATCATCAGATTCAGCTAGCAAGCAACACATACTTTTGAAGCCAAACATTTCTCAGTATCCCAGAGGGTACCGAAGGAATAACACACTCATCAGCTTAAGCTGCCTCTGGGGAGGCGGGCAGGGTACAAAGCACACATTTTTGTTGATCACTTGTGTTTGCAACTTCATTCTTAAAAGTGCTCGAGTTACCTGCATGATCCCAATGCTTAGCTGGCACACATCCTCCTGTGTTTTCTGCTGCTGGAAAACCTGAAGACGCAAGAATATTATTTCAGCAGAACAGCTTCACAAGGCCTTATGCTCAAGGATGGCCTGAGTAACCTGTCCCTAAAGAGATGACACAATTATGAATTGTGTCATGAATTCATAATGACACAATTATGAATTGTGTCATGAATTCATAATGACACAATTATGAATTGTGTCATGAATTCATAATGACACAATTATGACGACACAATTATGAATTGTGACACATTATGAATTGTGTCCAGAATGTCTGCTGGGATATAGTGTTTTCTTATGGATCAATTTCAATTTTTCTCACCCTAAAAATGAGGAGAGAGAATACAAGTCCCAGTAAACAGTCTGACAAGCATGAGAAGGTAACACACTAAAAGGCAAAAAGCCCTAGTACCTAGCTCATGTGATACGTATCACTGTTGGCTAAAGGAATTGCAGCAAAAGCTCCCAGGATATTCAAAGATCTTTGCACCCTAACAAGAAGGATTCACCATGCCCTGCAGATTCTTTTGAAGACTATTCATTAGGAAACTGGACAAGCTAGCTGTAAAAATCAAAAATAAGTGAGGAGAGAGAAACAACACTCATACAGAGGGGCCAGAAGGATTTTGGAAAGGTGTTAAACTTCCTTAGATCACCGAAACCTGAAAGAAAACATCAGTATCACAATCATTCAGGGCCTCAAGGTACTAAGTGGATGGGGACAATCAGGACTCCTGATTTAGAATAAAGTTTGCAGAAGTAAAAAGTTGAATTCAAGTTCTGCAAGTAGTCTGGATGCAACACTAAGTGAAGAATAACTCCTAGGAAAGCCCCCTCCATGCTTTTTTTTTTTTTCTCATGGAAATAAAGTCACACCTACTGCCAACTGAAAATTACATTAGTAGCATTTTTCAAAAGAATAGCTTTAAAGATTAAGTATAGGTCCAATCTGCCTCGTACACACACAATTACCCTTGACAAAGGAAACACAAACAGAATTCTAAAAGCTAGCAGCAGTGAAAAGGATGCACATGGAAAAAAATGAAGAGGAAAGTTACACCCCTGTATCATTCTCTGAAAGTTCTTGTTCTGAAATCCAATAGTAATTTACATAAAAAGAATGAAAATAAAAGCATAAATCAAAACTTACACTGGCCTCTCCAGGTTTGCAGTCCAGTACAGTTTTAAGAGATTGCAAGGAATGGATAATGCACTGTTCAAACTGGGATGGCTGAAAGGCAAATGACTTATTAGCTTTAAATCAGCATGTCAAATGTATACTACACAAATATATAAAAACTTCCATGTCATATGGCAAGTCCTTTATTTCCAAATTATCCTGAAGAAGAAAAAAAACAAACCCAAAATAAACTGTGATTCATATATTATCAAAGCATCTTTTTGCAGTGATGTATTTTTGTACTTATCTACAGTATTATTTTCATAGATCAATGTACATTTTATTTGAATAAGAGACTTTTACACCAAACAGTTTCCTCTAAAACAGTCGTGAAAGATTTTTTTCTAGCTTGTTTGTGGTAGCATATACTGACAATTACCTTATAGATGCCTGTGACTCCCTCCCTCCTTCCCACCTTGATCTAAGTTGGGATAGAATTTCATCTGGGATGTCTGATATTTCTGCATTTTACTTTGGCAAACGGTTTCTAAGAAAAACAGATTGAAATTCCTTTCACATGGAGGGAAAAACCACCACACTGGTTGGGGGGGGGGGGCTTTTTTTACCTCCAGGTTTTCCAAACCTGAAGTACGAACATCTTGATGCATGTATCAATTTCACTCTGAAAGTGCAAACGAGTTCACAGACAGAGTCATTAGTCAGTTTTTCCTTGTCTTTCTCTCTTCCCTGTTAAGTCACACCTTTTTTTTTTTTTTTTTTAAAGAAAAAAAGAATGAGACTGCCTGCTGGTGTTAGGCAGGAAGCTGTTGTACAGGGCAATGTGCAGCAGAGAGGTGTCACTGCTCTAGAAAAGAGGGACACCATCCCACTGGATTAGGGTCAAAGAGGTGGACAAAACCCCCCAAATTTCTAAGCCAAGTAAACCTGCTTTTCATCCAGTAGATAGTTTATGGCAAGTCACCAACTTTTGCTTAGGAGTAACTTTTATTTCTGTAAATGCTGGAGTGGAGGTGTATCATGAATGCGATGCCTGCAATGGCAACCTGAAAATCATGAAAAAAGCCACCATGACAATCTGTATTCATTATTTTTGGACCTGCTTAAAAGAAAGAGAACAGCCGTAAAGTGCTGCTCTTTCTTTTTTGTTTCCATCTAATAAAACATCACACCTCAGGAGAATGAAGTTGTTCAGATCTATTATTCTTTGGATATTGTGAAACTGAAGAAATTTGGTTCTGTGTCTTACTGTCTCTTTTACCTGAAATATAAACACTAAAGGAGTTATCAACCAGTATTTCCTACAAGCTTAAAATACAGTTTTTATCTTAGGACTAAAATGTTCCCAAAGAGAATGTCTGCCCCCTTACACTGTTTCATTTTTGCTACAATGAACTCGAGTAGATCAATAACCCTGCTATGACAAAACACAGTCAACTGCCACCATTCAAATTCGGCACGTCCCAACCACGGCTTCAAAAGGTATCCAAGGAAGGGCTGTATATAAGGAATTAATGGGATATTTCCAAATACAAAAAAGACTTCAGGAGTTTTTAAACAAAGATGAGTTAGGACACAGCAAAAGCATAAAGAAACAAAGCTTTTGCAGAAGATCCTTCCTCCTCCCTCAATTTTACAGATGAATAGAGTGAAAAACAGAAAAGTTAAGGGACTTGCCCAAGTCAGCGGCAACTGAAACCAAGACCAGAAGCTGCAAATCTGGTTATAATACTACAATTGCCCAACAGCACTCCTTCCTAAAACGTGTATATTGTGATTACTTCATGCCCTCCTACTCAACTTCAAACACGTATTTATAGAAGCAAATAAGAAAAACTCAAAAAGTCTCGTGGAGCATTCTCTTAGATAATACACACAAAGCAACTCTCCCTCCCACAGGCCCTTTCTGCTTTCGCAGATTGTTTTTAAGTCCCACCTACAACGTGCTTGCTGTGTTTTAGGCATTGCTCATTACTGTTTATTTCCAGAAAGCATCTCACTAATTTATGTGAACTTGGTTTCAAGTCACTGGTTGTTTGTGTGTAGGCAATCTCCTAAATTAGTTGCTTTCCAGTTCAGTTTCTCACTATAACATATAAGTGACCTATTTATTTCACTACAGACCAATTCCATGGTAGTGGTGTCTACTAAGTTGTGAAGCATTTTGATGTGAACTGAACTTGTTGTGACCTCAAAAATAATTTTTTACTTCAGTAAACCATCCCATTATTTTAAAAAGATGCTTAACAATGAAAATTACTATGGCTTATCTCAGCAAAGTCATGCTAAAGATCAGTAGTAATTATACTGATATATTTAAATAACTCTAAGGCAGAAAGTCACACTATGTATCTTGATGCCCAATTCTTATTTGTTTTGTCTTTCAATACACAACATAAATCTACTTAGCTTTTATTTATGCTTTTTTTTTTCTGTTTTGCACCTTCAAAAATATTGATGTCTAGCAGTACCATAATCACTTCAAGTTACTGCAGACATAATAGTTCAAGAAGTACAAATAAAAATTTTAGAAAAGGAAGAAAAGAAAAAAATAACTTTGTGTTTGGTGATGGGATCTGTTGAAAGTGCTGTAAATAAGTAACCATCCAAACAAAAAACTTTGTGTTTTTTATGTTCCTATATTTTCATATTTTAATAAAACCATAGACATCAGTATGCACACATGTAGACAAAGTCCAAATGAATTCAATTTTTGGAGAATATAGAAACCAGTCTCATTACACTTGCAAAAAAAACCCTCACCAAACCATCCAGCAAAGCAAGTGCCTACAAAACACACAAGTATACCCACCAACGATGTCAAACCTTCGTTGTCAACAACCCAGTCTTCTTTTTCAGCTAACCTCTTAATATCTGTAAGACAGAGCAAAAGGGAGAAGAGCAGGGGGAGGGAGAAGGTATTCATTTTCATTATTAAAAACTCCTTGAACTTGAAAAGATAAAACCACAGACATTGGGACTGCAATGACTAGGCACACAAGCAAATAGCACTAAAAGCTTCAAAGCTTTCAGCATTCTCAAATGACTAAGAGTGGAACTCATACATGGTATGCTGGTGACACCACATAGAGAAGCACATCTATGATACACGGCAAGAGTTGCATGGAGCACATCTTTTACTGGAAAGCTTAAAATAAAGGCAATATTGTGCAGGCTTTGGGTTTGTTTCTATTTTGTAAATTTTTAATCACAACATAAAATGCTGCATTTAAGAATCCAAGCCTCTATACACCAGCTCTTAATTTAAAAATGAAAGAACAACTGCCTAGCACTTTAGCAAAGACAGAAAGGACAGTATATAATTCATATTTAAGAACTATGAAAGAAGCACAGAGTCCCCACTTAGGGTCAAGGATCCACGGTGCTAGACTTCCTTCAAAAGTACATGAAGGCATATGCATAAAGCACTCTCTTCTGCTACTCAGAAGGTGCCAACTTCTACAGGCTTACTGAAGCTAACAGGAGCTAAGTCAGGATGCGAATCCAAAGCTTACGCACTGTAAACAAAATTCCTCTATGGATGCATGCATTCTGCATCATAGTTGGTTTTTTTTTTTTTGGGGGGGGGGGGCCGGGTGTGTTAAGCAATTTGCAAACAGAACAAAGATTAACTGTGTGCAGTTCACGGGGGCTTTAACATACAGTTAAGCAATTTGCAAACAGAACAAAGATTAACTGCGTGCAGTTCACAAGGGCTTTAACATACAGTCTTTCACACACAAATTGCTCATCAGAACTCTCTGTATATCACGAAACTCCCTTTTAGATGAGCAAAAATTTTGGTGAATTACCACCTCTCCCTAAAATACAAGAAAAGAGGATAACTAAGGCATGCTGAAAGGTATCGTCACTATCTTGATGCTTTAATTAGCTAAATTAAGAAGCTTGGTTCTGGTGTCATACCCTGCAATTCTACATCTCATGCAAGTATAGGCCTAGTGAGGATAAAAAGTATTAATGGATTGTGCAGAATAATTACTCTGTTCATTTCCCTGTTTAGTAAACCTTTTAATTCAACCGATATTCCTGTGAGGCTTTGGATTGGTGTAGTGGAGGGTTTCCCTGCCCATGGCAGGGGGGTTGGAAGTAGATGATCTTTAAGGTCCCTTCCAACTCTTACCATTCTACGATTCTATGATTGCACTGGTCAGCCTTTACATGTTTTTGTGGCTACTCACTTTTGCATTCTGTTGCGAGCTAATACAAATACAAAAGAAACAAATTTCTTTCTTGTATTTCTTCGCTCACCGAATTCCAGTCAAAGGCATTCATGTAAACCCCCTGTCTAGTCTGGCATTCACATAATTTGGCTTTCACGACCTTTATGACCAGCGATCATACATGAGAGGGGAAGAACACAGACTGCTTCTCAGGGCCAGCATGAGTATACAGTGTTTATCATAACACAACAAGAAAAGCCTGTGCGTGGGCAGGTTTGTCCTATTTAAACAGCTCATGGTAGAGTGCTCTAGTAAGATTTAACTGATCTGAATGCCTTTACCAACTTCCAACATGCAGCAAGAGATGAGAGTGAACTTTGTATCAGCAGTCTACACAGCTCATCCTTCGTAGAGTTTATACAGGTGAGGTTCAAGTTCAGGAGGAGCCTTTTTGACATATATTACAGATACAACTACATCTGAGAATATAGCTCCGTGAGAATATCCATCAACTGTTCTTTCACTGGTTCCCTAAAAATAACAGTTTCTTTACGAGCCCAACTAACCTGGTCCTGTCCAGAAAAACTATTTAAACACCTTCAACACATGCAATTTTGCTTTAGCTGGTAAAGAACAAAAAAAAGGTCTCATAGATAAGGCACACAGTGCAATGACATGGAATAAGAGTCATCATACAGGCAGGCATCTTTTATCTTCTCCTGTTTGATGTGACAGCTAATACACAGAACTGCTTCACTGTCAGGGGATGGAAGCAGCAGCCAAGGAAGGCTGCTCTTATGAGCCAGATGAAAGAGAACTACATCATCCAGCCAACATAACCTACTGGCATCTTAAGGGATCTGATCTCTTCTGCTTCAAGAAAGAGAAGTATGAATGAAGATGTTCAGCCCAAACAGCGACTCATTCACACAGATTGTAAATCTGCTTTCATAAAAATCTAAGGTACAGACTACCACAAGAGTTTTTCCTCCACGGAATGTATGTGGCCAGTGATCAAGATGTAAGGAGTAGAGACTCTGGATCTGAGCAAAGAACTGGGCTACCATTATGATGCAATAAGTAGATAAAACTGGTATGACAGCTGTCTTTTTGGCCAAGAACTTTTCACCTACCATTTAAAAAAAAATTGATCTCAATTGTGCTAAGCGAAGAAAAGCAAAAGAGACTTCCTCATACTTTAAGTGAAATCTGAAATACTGGTAATAATTTCCCTATAGAGTTTTAAAGAGACAAGACAACTTATGTACTTGTGGCCAACTAGCAGAAAAATAAAGTTAACAATGAAATGGGATTTAATAAAAGGATTAAGAGCCAAGAACACAATTAATATCAACATCGTATCAAATAAATCAGAGACTTTATGATGTGTTGTCACAAAAAATTTTAAAAATTGCTTAATATAGCCACCAGCACTTAGCACACTTAAGACTTGAGTAAAACACTTAGCTTCTCGTCAGCCTACAAAATAATGACAAATCATATGTTAAAAATTAAAACCTGATTAAATTGTGAGATTAAAAAAAGCCCTAATCTTTTTTAATATTAAGGGTAATTAGTCTTTTGGAAAAAAACCCCTGCTAAGTGAATTAGTAGTGGATCAATCTGCCCTGATTTTGAGAGAGAGATTTCTTCTGGAAGATTTACTTCATTCACATTTAAGTTTCAGAATTGAATACGAGATGGAAGACGAATGGCCTCTGATGCACATACAGCCACATTAGATTTAGAGAACGTGTTACTGGCCTTGACAATCCAGACATTTATTGCGAAAGCTGTGTAGACAGCAGGAAGCCTGGGGATTATGATGTTAGCAAAAAGCCTTGGAAAACACAGAACTAAAACACTTCATGAAGGCCTGTGGATTTGTTTTTTCTTGGGAATGGGAATTGCTTATTTAATTCTACACTTTATAGAAGAAGTCGAGAAAGAAAATCAATTATATTTCCATTATGGAAAAGCTGCATCATGAGATAAATCACTTGCTTTGTAAAACTGTCTCAACCCAAAGGAAACAGATCTGAGCTACTGTATTCATTAGATTAAGGGAAGAAAAGGCTTCTAACACGCATTTCCATCAGAAGAGTGAAATATTTGAGTAACTCTTGTGACATATAACAGAACTCAGAGGAGTCCACTGCTACGACTGTACTGCAACAAACCCGGTTATCTTCCAGAACATAACTTGGTCTAATCAGAGGGGAAAAAATGTGACAGTAAACAAAAAGACCTGAAGTCTTCTATTACCTTCAGCTGTGTGTTGTAAGGTCACTATAATGCAACGTACACGAAGGTCCAAAATAAGATCCTGGATGATCTGAAGCATATCATTGGGTATCTCGAGTGCAGTAAGAGACTCAGAACTAAGCCTGGAAAGTAAACAAAGTTAAACTGAAGTGTAAATCTGCAGCGTTTTTTAAGCTGATACAACTTCATTGAATTTTGTCAGGCATTTTCTGAGTATATGAATACAGTAGCTCCATCCACAGAGTATCTTTGAAAACTGCTTATCCCACTCAGAGAAGATTAATTGTTTGCTTAATTCAGAAGCTTGCAAATACAGATTTATTTTCCTGTAACATTACAATAATGTCATCACAGCAACGTGTCAACTTTTCCTGCTGTCCTCTTGCACTTCCCTGCCTGCCTTTCTGCATCTGTCTCTTGTTTTAAAATCCAATAATAATAATTTTAGAGCAGAAGTAGCTTTTTGGCTGTTTTTATGTGAATGCCTAGATGAAATCCCAGGTCCACAACAGGGTTTCTGAGATACTGTTTACCCACATTACAACAGTAACAGCTGTCAAGCTGCCATAAATGGTGATATGGCTGTGCATCAGATTGCCAAGAGTATACACATTTAAGGAGCCAAAAATACAGCTACTGCATCACCTGCAGAGTGAAGAGTGAATTCATTCACTGTTTTGCTCCCAATTCCGGCCAGACACAAACCACCAGCTACTATAGCTGAGTATGGAAACATTCATTTCAATTTCTTCCTTCAGAAATAGTAACACAGCAGCTGCTTGCAAGGAATGGCATTTCAGCTTTTAATTAAAAGGCTGCAGTTGTGTTCAGACTTGAGTTAGGGTGTCCTGGTGAGGTTCACTGCTTTTATCCAGCTCTTGGATATTTAAGCAAGGACAATTGAAATGCAGTCATTGCTGTCTGCCCTACTGCTAATGCTGAGCAAAGCACACGTACTACAAAACGCCAAAGAACAGGAGTAGGAAGACACAAGCAAACAAGTTTGAATAGTAAGTGGAACATTTCCAGTCATCCACCTGTTGGCTCCAGTTTCTTACCTCTGGTGTTGGGCATAAACCATCAAAACCCCACTGCTCATCAGACTGCTATCTGCTCAGGGCAAGTAGTGAATTAGTGCAGATTTATGTAATCTACTATCTCAGCCATCCAGGAAATACAGGATGTAAATATCCATCTGGGAGAAGTTTAAGTGACTTTAGAATGTACAGAAGTCCTATTCTTAGAGCTGATTTTGAGCACGCAGCTGTCACATCCCTAAGATCATCTTTTTACTCATGTAACTCACGCTAATGTATACATACCTTTCTATCCTTAGAATAAGGCAAAAGTCTTGCTGACAACAGCCTCAGTTTATCACATAGCTCTAATTTATCCTCTGGAATCTATTCAAAGTGGGCAATGACAGAATGGGGTACAAGAGAAAGACCATGCAACCATCCCACTTTAAGCTGTGTGATATATATAAACAAGCAGAGAAATTAAGATCACACAGATGTAACAACTCTTTGTTATCTCATTTTGGAAGTTTTAGCATTCTTAAATACAAGCAGAAAACAGTAACCCATTTGTGAGATGACTGAAAAGAGTAAAATTCTATCATGGGCTTCATAATAACTCTGTTAGAAACTATAAAAATAGAACTTAAGTTATTACACAACTTTGCAACAAATAAGGTTTTCATGTGATGTGTAGGCTCTTCAAGAGCAGAGTCCACCTTCATCATTGGTGGGAGTCACAAGAATTTATTAGATCGTCGAAGCGTAGGGGCTCAAAAAGAAAAGTACTTGCAGCACTCACAAAAACTTCTGACCCATGCTCAGTTCCTCTTCTCCAGATTGCCTCTTTTCTTCTCTACTTTTGACCACTTTGCATTTAAGTCTAGCTCACTTTACTGAAGTGCCAGCACAGGCATCAGTAAGAACATGAGGTGGGGAAAAGAGTGGGAGGGAGTGAGAATTTCCCCAGCTCGCAGTTCAGTTGTTCATTGCCAGGGCGGTGCCCAGTAAGCAAGTGGAGATTCTCTGAATAAAAGCCTTTATAGATCCTATAACCTCAGCCTGGATCATACCTTGGATGGCAGGGCTCTGAAACACAACCTACCTTCAGACAATCTGTTGGTTAATTTTCAAGGCCATATTAGAGATGTGCAAGTGTTAAATCCTAGAATTTCCTAATTTGAGTGAAATTGGATTTCTCATAAAAGGGCAACACTGGTGCCAAAGCCTGTTCCCTTGCCCCTTTACATCTTTTCGTCAAATGCCAAGGCAGTTCCCTCTTAAACTGCAAGCTTTCCATAAAATTCAGCCAGAATAAGAAATGTTCACATGGAAAATTTTTTTCCAAAATGGTTAAAGTGCAGATAACTGACAAGAGACTTTGGGAAAGCGTTAAGCAGGTATGCATTACTCCTAGCTCCATCTGCAATAAGAGTATCCTATATGTGATACCCCTTTCTTTTCTTCCTCTGTGCTTTGCTTGGTACCTACTTTGAAAATTGCAGATACAGCATTGTATTCAGGTATTACTCCAAATTTCCAAAAGACAATGATAATTCTTATATCCTCCATAAACAAATGGAAGAAAATTCTGTATATTAATGAGACATTCTGTAATTAATGACACGCACATTACTAAGTTTATAAACAAACATAATTATAAGCAGAATGTCATTAAAAGCAGGAGTATCACCTTCCATAAAACAACCGTAAAACTAGATTATGATTTAAGAATGATACTACAGTGAGAAGTACACTATTTTTACCCATTTTGGCAGAGATGGGAAGATGTGTAGCAAATAAACCAGATAACTGCTTTCTACCCTAAAGAATCAAATCCTTTTTCATTCATGGAGTGCCAGTGCTGTACCAGGCAAATATTTTATTCAAATATTTTCACAAGATGCTATGGAAAAAAATGAATATATCATTATGTAGTAAGGCTATATCACGAGACGTTATTCATTACACTTGCACATAGAAACCTAAATCTGCCATAAGTCATTTCTTTGTAATCCTATTTTTGAAAATACTAACATTCTCAGTATTTATGGTATTTAATGCAATAAACAAAACAATTTGTCTTAAAGCACACATATTCCAGGAACAGTATCATTTTGTAGGCACACAGATCCATTTACCTTACAGTCTGGATAACATGTGTTAGCCACTGGCCAGAAAGTTCAGATTTCATCTCCCAGCCACCATACTGTCTTGATTCTCCTTCTCTGAGGCTGAATGGAAGCAAAGCTCCACGGATAAGTTTTACCAGAGAGTGCATCACCTCCTGGATCATTTTCTGCATTAGAAGAAGGGAAAGAAAACTCAAGCAAAAAGCTCTACCAATGTGCTTAAGTAGCCATGTACTCAACAGCTTGGAATTCATGATTTACTGAGGTTCCACATGGCAGAGAGTAGAGCAGGAGGAGAAATAAGGGCACACAGATGGTTTAAGAAATCTGGTTTTCAAGGTGGTGATATTGAAGTATCTTGCTATTAAGGACAACTGAAAGAAAGCAAGGTTTCTGCCCCATAACTTACCTTGAAATCATTTTGTCTTTGCCGAGCGTTTTTCTTTGACCTTTCCATTTGGCCAGATTTTTCAGCAGTCTTGTGAAAACAAGAACATTGAAAAGTGTAAGTATCTCATAACCACTGTTAAAATAATTCTGAAAAAGGGGGTTTCAAAGCGAAAAAGGGAAAACCTGTGAGTTTATGAGGCAATTATAAAAACTAACTCACGGCATCTCAATAAGCAAACGCTATATTCTGCTGTGGGTCAGCGTGCTAATGTTGAATTCTGAGGAACAAGGTGTATATAGGACAAAGTCAGAGACAAGCATAAGAGCAGCTCAAGCAATATGAACTTTGTGAGGTCAAAGTTTTCTCACTGCTATGTTAGTGAGAGCTAAACCAGATATAGTTCAATTGTGCATTAAGTTTGTATGAAGAAACTCTATTTTCTCAGCATGGAAGCTGCCCAGAGAAGGAGGACATCGATGTGAAGTGGGAGACACTTCTTGGAATGAGGGCAATTTGGAATTGTAACATGCGAGGGGGAAGGTTGAAGGTTTTTTGTTTGGTTTTTCTTTGGGTTGTTTTTTTTTTTTTTGGAACACCATTTTGTTGACAATGCTTTTTGAATAATTCAACTAACTGTAAAAGAGACTGCAAAACAATCAGCATCTTCATGGACAGCTCACTTCTTTGAAAACCGAGGGACATGAGTACACTTTGCATGAGACAGTTACAGTTGAAGAAAAACATGGTTTGACTAATAGCCTTCCTGTTTGTAGTTCTAGCCTTCTGTGGAGTCTACTGAGAACAGAGTCAACTGTACCGAAAAAGTGATTTCAAATACTGGGTTAAGTGAAGATGTAGAATTTCATGGTTAGAAAATCTCCTATTTTATGTATGTACAGCAACATCTACTGGACAAGAAGTGCAATAACACGACAAGAGTGTTCTCAAAAAGAATCAGTTTACTTTTAAGCCATTAATTTGAAATGCTCTATTTTTCAAATTCCCTCTTTCAGCTAAACTATTTCAGATTTTCCAGGTAAAATAACTAATTTGAAGTGAGCAAAGATTAGAGAACAATAAAATCTGCTTAAAGGTTTCAGAAGACACATAGCTATGAAACTTGTACTTTAAAGCTCTGAATTACACAGTTTCACCCCAAGGAGAACAACACTTGAGTTATTGCTGCATTTAACAAGCAATTCTCTCTTTTAATGCCTTAAAAAAGAAAATAAACTCTGTTCCTTTAAACTTCAGGTAGCAACTTAAAATTCATCGTTTTACAGCTCGATTTAAGAACAACAAAAAATTTCACAGATCTTTGCTATCTTTTTTTTTTTTTTTTTCCTTTTCTTAGTGGTTTTGCTGAAGACCAATCTTAAACCTTTCCTGCACAGACAGACCAAAACTATTTTGTGGTAAGACCAACGGTTACTACTCACATATGCGACTTCACCTAGAGTGATTCAAAGAACTCAACTTTTTAAACTGTTGAAAATACCACGTAAGTCTTTAACTGACAATATTTTACGGCATATCACTAACCTTTCAGAACTAACAAGAACACCCCCCGACCTCCAAAATCCCCCAAACCCTACAAACTAAAAAAAAAAAAAAATACAGCTTGAAATTCATATGTAGCGATTTTCCTTCCACATTTTTGAAATGTCTTGAAGACTTGAACAAGCTAACTGAAATGACTCTCTACATCATTTTCACAGGACTTTTCTTTAAAAACTGCAGCAGTCACCTTGCTTCATAAATGGCAATAAATAGCAAGCAACAAAGGTGAAAGAAATTTCTTCATGGACAATTAAAATCTGTATGGTTTCTGACACAAAAACATCAACTTGGAGTCTTGAATTTGGTGTGGTGACAGATATTCTTAGGTGCTCTAGAAGAAGTCTTCTAGCTTATGTCACCCCCTTCTCCTGTCCATCCTCAGTGGATTGTGGCATGCAGAACACACAAAAGGAGCTGAGGGCACCATCCCTCCTCCCTGCCTGAGAACTTGTGGGGGTTCTGTAAGGACCAAAGGAGCAGAAGAAACAAAATGTATGGGGATTCATTTCTCACAAGCTCAGGTTCTGGCCCAACAGAGGAAGAGTAGATGTACCTCAAAGATTAAAACTATCTCCTCCTCCTTTTTTTTTTTTTTTTTTAATAAATGGAAACAATGTTTTGTTGAGACATGACATAAGATCACTGCATTTTCCACTTGTAGTCATTTTCATGAGCAGAATTTCTCAACCTTGTTTATAGTTCAAGTCTCAGTTTCTCCAGAAATTGCTTTCTTTTTCATTGTACTCAGAGAAAAAAAACAACAGGTGAATTTGTGAAGTCTAATTTCCAATTGTACTGTTGTTAGATCTAAAGGTTGTAATTTCCCTTATGAAATCAATTACTTTTGTGAAAGTCAAGGGTGCTAAGGTTTATTCTTGATCCTACTTCCTTCACTGAACATTACGAGTAAATGCAGTATCTTTCTTTTGATTTTATTATGTAAAATGGGGATGTCAAACAGAATCTATTTCACTGGTGCTATAATGGTCTGTGTATTGTGTTGAACACATAAAAGGCTATAGTATCTATTAGTATCATCATATGAAAACATTATATTGATTTACAGGCAGTGGCAATAAACAGAATGACCACTTGAGAAATTAATTCTTCAGTTAGTCAGAGAAAAGGAAAATGACAAAATAAGCTTTCAAATTTCCTTTTCCAAAGTTTTCATTTTATTTTCTACTAAAGCTGCAAAGAATAGTAGATATCTACGCCAGCAGCTCTGCTTTAGGGATAATTTTGCAGTGGAATACTGTAGCTGTGATGACCTAAGGATTTAAGCACAGCAGGACACTAAGCATGGAAGGATAAAAACAATCTCAACAAATGAAATGATACAGCAACAGCTAAATAGAGAAGTTATACGCATAAACTTTTAGATTCAATATAGAAGCTGATCTGAATAATATGCATGTCCACAAGCTTGCTTATTTTCCACCTGCTCTGTACTATCCCAACTGTCTCTACATCACTTTACAGACCTCATCTTCAGTTTTTTAGGACCCAGAATGAGTGAGTTGGAACTGCAGCCAGCACAACTTCCCAGTGATAGCTGTGCAGATGAGGTGTGAACTGGTGCCTTATCATCTGCTGCTGGAACAGAGAGCTGCCTTTCACTACACTTCAATCACGTCTTGTCTTTCTCACACTTGCTCCTTGGGAATACACCACCAACTCCAGTTCTCCTTCTGGAGAAGAAACAACATGGCTTAAGAACCAAAAGTGAACTCTCTGTAAACCATGATGTAATTCTGTGACCAAATTTTAGCAATAACACAAACCCCAAAGCTACTGTGTTTATCTGGTAATGATTACAATGCTAAGCTGTATACTATCCACATCAAACCAACAACGAAATGCATCCCTACCAAATCTGTTAACAGTATGCATATAAAAACATAAATCATTACTTCCCCTTTTCCCCCTACTTCTTGGACTATCAAGATTATACTTCCACCAAAACACATCATCTAAGCAAAAAGGACTAGAAGCACAGGTGACTGCAGGTGACTACACTTCCAGACCAGACCTCCTACAGTATGTCTGTGTATATCGCTCTGGGCCTTGGTCATTTTGCAACTCTGGTCTTGAAGCCATCCTCACTTCCAAATAATTAAACCTCAAGAAACGAGTACTCTGGTTCCAAAGAAAAGAAACATATTTTTTTCTGTATGACTGTGTCTTTTACATATTTTTATCCTTCATGCAGTTTGCTATTTCTTCAGATCACCAGTGAAGGGCAGCTGGCCAGCTATAAACGAGAGGTAAAAACACACATATATTGACTCCAGTATCTGGAACACGTACACAGACACACTACAGGCAGAATTTTAAGTAATTCCGCTATATGCTTTTATTCTTTTAAAAATAATAAGAAAAATCTCAATTCCATAGAATCATAGAATGGTTAGGGCTGGAAGGGACCTTCACAGGTCATCTAGTCCAACCCCCCTGCAAGGAACAGGGATATCTCCAACTAGATCAGGTTACTCAGGGCCTCATCCAACCTGGCCTTGAACGTCTCCAGGGATGGAGCATCCACCACCTCTCTGGGCAACCTGTTCCAGTGTTCTACAACTCTCATGGTAAAAAATTTTTTCCTAATATCCAATCTGAATCTACCTCCCTCTATTTTAAAACCATTACCCCTTGTCCTATCACAGCTGGCCCTCCTGAACAGCCTCTCCCCATCTTTCCTGTAGGCCCCCTTGAGGTACTGGAAGACTGCTATAAGGTCACCCCGGAGCCTCCTCTTCTCCAGGCTGAACAGCCCCAACTCTTTCAGCCTGTCCTCATAGGAAAGGTGCTCCAGCCCTCTTATCATCTTCGTGGCCCTCCTCTGGACCCTCTCCAACTGGTCCATGTCCTTCTTATGTTGGGGGCTCCAGAACTGGACGCAGTACTCCAGGTGAGGTCTCACGAGGGCAGAGTAGAGGGGAAGAATCACCTCTCTCGACCTGCTGGCCACGCTCCTCTTGATGCAGCCCAGGACGCGGTTGGCCTTCTGGGCCGCAAGAGCACATTGCCGGCTCATATTGAGCTTCTCGTCCACCAGTACTCCCAAGTCCTTCTCCTCAGGGCTGCTCACGATCCATTCTCCATCCATAGGTTAGTATTGCAAGACACCTTACTAGTCAAGGTAGCACCCTTCAAATGTGTAAGAGTCTACATATTATTTTATAAACCTCTCCAATTAAAATAAGTTGTCGCTTCTTCCAGTGAAATATAATACTTTAAATATAGTTATTATGGAGCTTTGTTACTTAAGTCACTTATATAGAAGAATCCATACCTCACTGAATAAACTTCCATTCACATAAGAAATCCAGAGCTTCCAGAAGTTGGGCAGCTGACTTACAACAAGTTTTGTCAACTTCTCAACAAACACAACTTGCTGAGGAGCTTTGTATCGCCAAGCTAAAAGGGGAAGAGGGGGCAGAAAAAGCAAAATTAAAAAAAACTTTGAATGGGTAATAAAAAACACTACGTACTACTAGCTTTCTGCTGGTTTGTGTTACACAAGTGACTATACAGTATATATAAAACCTTACAGGTAGGAATTAAAAAATTTAAAGCCCCATCCGTATGTGTGTATACAACTGGTACACATATAAGCTCTGTCTTCTCTTCTCATATGCTTACAAGGTGCTAGCACTATGACAGATTATGAAAAATAGGTCCCTTTGTAGGGATTAATGAAATCCACTTAACAATCCATTCAGCCAGTCTTCTGTCTTCAAATCACTCTAAAAGGTGAGGTAACATGAAAGCAATCAAGATAGAAATTTCAAATGATAAGGTGGTGATGCTGAAGAAACAGAGCTGCTAGGATGAGCTAGTGCTTAAGGCAAATAATGGCAATTAGAAGATCTGCTTTTTTTAAAGCTCAAAAAAATTTCCATTGCGGTCTGGGACAAGTTGCCAACCTCTCATCTTCATTTCCATTTGTTTGGTAAAACCTTTTATCTGAAAAATGGGAGATTCCAACATTTCTGGTAAAGCTCAATAAACGTATCATTAAGTATGTATTAAGATTCTTGGATGAAGGACATAATCATGGCACATAATACTGTGGCATCTCTCACTTCATGAACTTATTTATGCTGCTAGTACACTGGCTATTAAAACACATCAGGAAAATAGCTTACATTTTGGCAGCAGTTAACTTTTCTCAGTTTTTTAAAAAACGGGGCAAAGGGAGGTCATGAGGGCAAAGGTAAAGAGAAAGCTGAAAAGGGGCAGAAGAAAGGTGCCAATTAATACAGAAAACAAAGGCATTTTTTTTAGTGAACGAACAATCATCCACACTACCCAAAATGTTCTTTTTCCTCACGGCCAAAAGGTTTAGAGACTCTGGGTCAGTATTTGAAAACCCAAAAAAAATCACAACGGAAGCCCAAAATTTGGATAGAGACTCTGACATAACTGAAGTGTAACTCTGCTGACAATAATGCATCTGTTTAAGAGGTCTGAAAACTTCATGAAAGTTCAACCAGCAAAGCTCACGACGTGGACACAGGATGTCAGAGCACTACATTTGCCAGTTTGGTTTATGACTCTCAGAGAACTGGTCTAGACTCAGTAGCAAGAAAACTCCTTTTATTAACATAAGCTGTGAATATGCCAGGAAGCTGTGCCAACACTGCTACAGCAACAGAGGCTCTCTAACACCAATAAACCCTAAGTTCTAATCAAAAGATTTCAGCTCCTTTGAGAAACCATTTTGTCTTCGCCAAAAGCTCCAGCACCAATCCAAGGTTATAGCCAGGGATGTCTGTTCCTAACTAGAAACACACTGGCAAGATTTACTTCATGTATGAAATTCTTTTCCCCTCCAGGAAGCATACTTGGGGCTTAGTCCCGAGCCTGCAGACGGCAGATATTTATTAGAATAAGGTACTGCACATGATGTCAAAAGGACATTCTGGCTATAAATTCAGGATATTTTGCCTTCGTTGCTAGAGAAAGCTCCAATCTATATTAAAGCACAAATTGTCTTTTATTCTATTTATCCTATTATACTCTGCTATAACATCCTAAAGATGAAACTAGAGCTACTGTTTACATATCCTCATGAACATAGGCTCAAGCAAGAGCGTCCTAAAGATGAAACTAGAGCTACTGTTTACAAATCCTCATGAACATAGGCTCAAGCAAGGGCTGAATGTTATCTGAATGCTGTAGTTTTGAATTCAAAGTGATTTGTTCAAACGGTCTCATGGACAACCACTGTCAACCACAATGGGTGGAAAAAAACATGCCAAAACACCAAAAAAACCCAGAAATGCCATTCCTCAAATTTACTTAAAAAAAAAAAAAGGATGCAAAAGCAACTTGGAAACGGAGCACATCATGGCATATTTGAAATGGCAGCATCTGCACAGGTATCATAAATGGTTGGTTTGCTTTGGCTCTCCAACTCAGAGAAGAGCAAGAATCATAGAATGGTTTGGGTTGGAAGGGACCTCAAAGGTCATCTACTTCCAACCCCCTGCCATGGTAGAGCTTTCAACTGGTTCCTAAGCATGCAGTGGGCATGTGCTCCTAGGTACCAATGAACTCAACTCAGACGAAACTCGTTCTAACTCTAGGGCCTTTGCAGTGGATTATTAAGATGCTCTGATCCTCCAGTTTTCCTCTGAATCTCGATTTAAACCGATAGCTACAGAATCTGCAAAGCTTGCTGAAGACTTATCTTTTCCCATTTGTAAAAGGTTATGGATCCATAACGAAGACTCTAAAAGCAAAGATAACCAATTGAATTGGAATTGCCTTCCGTAGATGCAACTATTTAAGCAGAGACACATGTGAAAGAAAACAAAGCAAAAATAAACTGAATTTTGGTTGTTGCTTGCTCCATTAAGTGTGGCATGTGTATTGTTAGCGGACGGTATTTGACAACAATCAGCAATTTACTGTTTTGCTCTGTAACACCTGTTATTCAACTTCATGCAAGGCTTTGGGCTGAGAACAGACAAGGGTGACAACAATACAGTAATGTAATTACTTGGTATAGGTGTATATTTTGAAGAATCTGTGTAATTTACATTTTGAAATACAAACATTCAATCTCAAATTGTGACACAATTTAATTGTCTGGCATGTGGAGATACATTGTGGCAGCACAAGAACATACAATTCTCCTTATTCTTCATTCTATGTTCTTGAAAGGTTCCCTTCAAATCTCTTTTTGCTTAGGAAAAAAAATAAATCAGATATTTATAGATGGTTTTTCAAGGAAGTCTACAGAACTGGGAGAAAAGTAACATCGAAGTGGACCAAAGCCAGAAAGTTCTTAATAAAAAAATGCTTTCTGCAAAACAGTACTTTGGTAAGAAATGATCTGTCCTGTGAAACACGTTTTTTGTCTCCTGTGATGTCACCATTGAAAGACTCCTGAGATGAAGTTGTTTGGACAAAGGTGTTGAAGACACTTATGGCACACAAGGGCTCAGCTGGTTGTGGACACACTGCTCGAGCTTTGTCACGCACTTTGTTTCCCTTCCTGGATTTACAGAATTAGAGAACAAAGACCAGGTATTTGAAGTCACGGAAGGAGCAAATGCAAGGAGAGTCATATTAGTAAACATACACGGAACGTATAACAACAGCAAAAGGTAGTAGGTGGTTATGTATACAAAAAAAAAATACTCTGGTTTTGTAGAAAAAAAAAAAAGACTCATTACCTTGACTACATTTTAAAAAGCTATGAACTGTTCTTTGCTTGCAAAAAACCACAAAGGACCCCTTTAGTAAGGAATGGTAATGGATGAGAAGAGAGAATTCTATTTGGTAACAAACCAAAGCAAACACACAGAGCAGGTTTCTGTTTGAGGTTTTTTTGACTACACCACACACTGGACGTAGGGAATTGCAGCTTTGTTTTTCCAAATAAAACAGATGCCTACCATCATCACGGCCAGACTGAAAGCTGCTGCCTCTTTTCAGTGAAGCAGTTTGACTGAGGTGGCCAATTGGTGATGGACGCACATCATTGTCCAGGTCCAACATGGGGCTGTGGAGCGATGAGTTGCCTAGGGAGAAGGGGGGAAAAAGTTACAATCATTTTTGAACATCAATTGACATGAAACTGCATGTGGAATTCTGATTTACTCCAGAAGCGACACAAGACAAAAGTTATCTAGCAAAAACATTCTTAATCTTGCTTATTTAGACTGTTTGGTCATCCACACATCAGTGCTGTTCAGTAACACCACTATTGACTCCTGTAGCAAAGCCAAAACCACAAGTATTGTGGGAAATATCATTCTTTGGTCTGTATGTTTCTCTGGTTTTATTTTAATTAATGCTCTACAATTAACCACTTGAAAGCCATGGATAAATACGTATTTATGGCACTAGTGACATGGCACACACTTTTTTTTTTTTCTAGTGCATGTCTAAATATACTTTTCAACAGCACAAGTTTCTTGTGCCTCCAGTTGAACCAGTTAAGGGCAGAGTGCTCAACTACTTCTTAGCTGTTTGACTTCTGCAGAGTTGAGGTAGAAAGAATCCATCCATCATGAAGCAGATGAACTAATGGCATGGTATGCTCGTGCATGTCTGAAACATCTCATACTTATACATCTCTACAAACACACAAAATATTTCCCAGTGTATCAAATAATCATTTTCTTTCTTTGGGTGCCTGTCCATACGTAGGTCACTATTAGCAAGTCCTAAGCAACGATCTAATCTGATGGAGGTGGATGCTTGGAGTCTAATGTACGTTTTGGAAACCAACCATATAATAATGAGCAGGATTTGATGATTTTTTTTTTATGTGCTGTAACACTGCCAATATTTATTTTAAAGTCTAAATTGCTGTTTTATGCACATCACATTACAGATACATTTCTGAAAGTAACCATCAAAAAATACTTCAGCATTGGTCAACTGAGCTGTAATAGCTAAACTCAAATGAATCACAATTCGCAGAATTACAGAACAGCCCAGGTTGGAAGGGACCTCGAAAGATCATCTGATCCAACCTTTCATGGGAAAGGGAGCTCAGATGAGATTATCTAGCACCTCGTCCAGTTGTGTCTTGAAAACCTCCAGCGATAAGAACTCCACCACATCTCTGGGGAGGTTACTTCAGTGAGTGATTGCTCTCACAGTAAAAAATTTCTTTCTTATAAAGAGATGAAACATCTCCTCGTAATTCATGCTGAATTTTGTAATGAGAATCTCAGCGTTTGCGTTTATATTGCTTGATGTTTTCCATCAATACCTACATTCACTTAAAATAACAGGAAGGCCACACAGTAAGAGCACCAGCTGTAACACTGCAACACTCGGATTCAAGAGTAACACGAAGTGGAAAGGATTTGAAGAATATTTATTCTGAATTTATGCCGCTGTCAGACGAGCATGACAGTAAAGATATACCTAGTCACATTACTTCAACAGCTGGGGCTTAAAGTACTGTGAAACTTATGGCAAACTTCCAATAGGTGACAGTATTGGGTTTTAGTTCCTTTGGAAAGAAGTTCTTCCTCCCATAATTCTTTAATGGCTTTTAAAGAGATTTCCTGTGGCCTTGCTCTGTGACGTTGTTGTTACTGAGCTGCCAGTTCCTGCATTCACCTTATGACTGTTCATACTGTAGGACACCCAAGTAAGTAGATTTGATTTGCTACATCGCTCGCAGTCACGATGGACACGCTGCATTAACTGGCTTGGTGAACCCATCCGTGCTGCCTTCAGCCTGTATTACGATTCTGGTCACTACTTAACTCCCACATCACTTATTAAAAACAAGTCATCTTTATAATACCTTTAAAATTTATGAGTTTTCAGCAATATGGAATCCACTGCGGTGATTTAAGTGTCTTACCCACTATCACCACAGACAATATATATAATGAGTGTGAACAAGAATCTGGGAAGACTTTTCCTCTGAATGAACTAAAAATACAAATTAATGGGAAAGTAAAAACCTAAAACTTTCAGAAGTTTGTTAAGTAGGTATGTATGTTGCAATGCAAACAGTTAATTATGGACACATACTATGCAACTACCCATACAGCAGAGGTCTGTGTAAGGTCACACATCACCAGCATTTATGATTTAAACATCTATGACTTCTAAACCATAACTTTAATGTTGTAAATTTGCAATAATTAGCTTCTGTGAAAACATTCCAGCAACCTTAAAGAATGAAGTAAAACCAAAACAAATTGATTCCTGTCCAGATTAAAAAAAAAAAGCATGCATTCAATACCTTATAGAGATTCTACCCAGAATATAAAGAAAATTGTATAGAAGACCCTGAGAAATTTGAAGTGCCTCACATAGTTCTTGGGCTTCCATAAGAATTTGACTTAGATTCAACATATCTGCGTTTCATCTGGCTGAAAAGCGTATGCCAAGAAGGACAAATTGGAATTGTCACAGCCATTGCTAGTTAAAACGGGTACTACAAAAACCCCAAGAGTGCAGCAATGCTATTTTCACAAAAACTATAATTAGAAAAAGCCACGACACACCAAAACTTCCCTCTTTGATGTCTTCCCATAGAATTTAGCTTCTCACCTTTCAAACACCTTGTTAATATGAGGAAGTTCTTGTAAACAGATGGTCTCTAAAAATGACAGTGCCAATTAAATCTCAGAATTAAGAAAAACAGACACACTTACCAAAACATCTTAACGTGAATTAGTTCAATTAAAACCATTTGCCTGAGGTAGCTGAAAACCTGAAAATTCTGTACTGCTGCTGATACGCTAACCCCACGCCGCCCAAATGGTTTATATATTCACCAGTAACAGAAAACACGTAAAGAATACTCTCTTGTTCCACCAGAAAAACCACATCATCAGTCTGCAGCCGTACCAGGAAAAGAAAGTTTAACATGAACTAATTTCTTAATTGGTTGTCTAGCATTACAAGCAAGTATAACCCAGCAGCAGGGAACTACAACAGCACATATACCCTCAGGACTAATAAACATCTGGACTGCATTAGCAGAGTCGATTTTGCTTTCACCCCACCAGAAGATAGCGCTTGAAGACTGCACACTAACGCATAAATCTTGTAAAAAAGCGAGAGTTAACTTACAAACAATTTTTCTCCCATCCCACCTCGTTCCCTCTCTGGAGCCAGCAGCTTAAATTTAGCAGCACAATGTAATACAATGAATTAATACTAGTATGGACTGTAGACAATAATATTTATAAACCTAAATAAACTACCCAAATAATAACTTACTGCCGATTCATTATTCAATTTGTTTACTATTTCTACATTCCTAGATCCTGAATATAGGACAGCAAGAATCTAAAGTTTCAAGAAGTTAACTTTCTACTGTGCTAACAGGTTTTAAGATGTTGTATAAACAGCGTGAACAACACGTTCCTGGTAGATCTTATTATTTATTTTTTTTTAAATATACTGCATCTTTGAAGCTATAGAAGTGTTTTTTTTCCAAAATACAGCATCTACACGGAGCATATCTGGCAGTGATTCCAGTGCCAAGCGTATATTTAACCAAGAAAACACAGGAAAAATAAAAGTACTTCATTCTTTTCTTCTACCAAATAGTCATGACAAACCAGAAGTATAATTAAAGCCTTATTACACTTACAAATGTAAAATCATGAGACGATCAAATAAGAAGTTTTAAGGATCTTAACATTGCTTTTTTTTTTTAAAAAAAAAAAAGGATTTTACTGGGTTTCAACTTTTTGTGCATAGATATTTTAAAAGTACATAGCATGAAATAAAAGCATTCAGATACAGTGTAAAATATAAAGAGTTCAATGCTTTTGTTCAGACCTCTTCTGATGCAGTGCAGTAAGATCTCACCAAAATAAGGATCTGAAAAAAACCCAACCGACTTGATGCTTTTTGACGTCATTTATTTAATTTGCGCTTTCACTTTCTGTAAATCAAAAGTCAACTGTGCTAAGCCCTAATTGCAAGTTTTCTCGAAGTTTACCAGTGCTGAGGATGCTACAGGGTACTTACGTGCCCACAGTGCCTATGGCTCGTGTACGTACCTTGACCTCATTGTTTGAGATGTTACCTGCACACAGCATGTTGCAGCCTCAGTGAAGATGACGACTAACATTAAGTTTGCCTAAAAGAGGTTTTTTCCATGATCTGCAAACCAGTCAACGATTTAAATCTTTCAGAGCAGCTTTACTTTCTTGTTTCAAAACTGTTACCAAACTGAGTGTAAAAATTGTTCTGCAATATCCACCGCTCCACAACTCTGCTTGTTTTGGGTTTTGATTTTTTTTCCCCTTAGAGTTTGACAGGGGGAGGCTTCTTGTGGGTCGTGCATCTCTCACCTCCCTTCCATAACCCAGCCTCAGCCACTCTGCAATTCTGCCAGCCTGGTCTATCACTGATGTGACATTCAGCTAAAGCTTTTTGCAAAATCTCCTGGTTGATCAGGGGATAATAGAGTGCCAGTACTTTTTTGCAGCGACAAACACAATTGTTAACAAGTGACCAACCTCAGGCTGAGTAGTTTTTCAGTGCTATTTTCCACGGTAAGTCAAGCACCAGTCATGACACAGACTCCGTGTATATACACGCACAGCATGTATATGAGCAAGATGAAAATTAAAAAAAAAAAGAAAATGAATTAATTTAAAAAATGAAATTAAAAAATGAAATGAAAAAAAAAAAAAAGACCCTACGGATGTGCCACCAGGTGAACACAGTCACTGTATTCTTTCATCCGTTGCGTATCTTACAGTGAATTTTCTCACAGGCTACAATAGCGAGGGAAGGCTGATCTATCGCCTCCGGACTCTCCGACTTCCTTACCACCCTTAAACACCTTTGAACATTTTTTCCTGTGCACAGCGGGCCCTTGTCCTGTGCTGCAGCCTGACCACCCACTGCTGCTTGTTGTCCAAACACAGAGCGCCTGGAGCCCGCGCCGACACAACCAGGGAAGGCTCCTTTCAAGGACACCGCGTGGAGAATTTCCATTTGTCCAGGCAAGAAATTAGGCAAGCAGGAGAAATTACTGAAAAATTAACCTGCTCACCAGATGAATGACTGCATTTTATCC